GATTGTTGGTAAAAGAATGATCATGACCAGTTGGAAATAAACATACTTGAAATGTCATGTCAGCAGGAGATAAATCATATATGATCCTGACACTCATTCATAACTGCCAACAACATTATAGGCTTTGGAATGATTTATAGATAAATCATAGAGCTCTGTCTGTGATCTGAGAGACTTATAACCTTTTATCTTTAACACTATTATAAAATATTTTAGGATTATAGCAGCTTCCAGTCTATTAGAATATTGTTTCATAAGAAATACAATAATACAAAGTGCTGTTATATTTTGCAAATTGTTCTCTTGAACGACTATAGGCTAAACAATACAATAGTAAATAAGAAGATTATAAGTTGATTAATCAGAAATATTTACATATATTACAACAATTCAGAATTGCTGTCAAGAACATTCGACAAGTTTAAAAAATTAAATTAACCATATCAGAGTAAAGAGTGTTTGGTTTGTCATACTTAAAGGAGCACAAATAACAACTATCAGAAACAGTAATAAATTGTCATAACTGGTAAAAAAAAATATGACAATATCAGATTTCCTGCATCATTTTCTCGGTAATCTGGCTAAAACGTCACCCAAAAGTGAAAATTCGGGCATTATTTACTCCCCCTCATGTCATTTCAAACCTGTATGACTTTCTTTCTTCTGTGGAACACAAAAGAAGATATTCTGAAGATTATTCTGAAAACTTTCTCAAAATATATGTTTGTGTTCTACAGAATTAAGTTTTAGAATGACATGAGTGTGAGTAAATGAAGACAGACAGAATTTTAATATTTGGATGAACTATCCATTTAAAGCAGCAAAGTGTTGTACAGTTTATGTACAGTTACAGTCCAGCTAAACTACTGATTTCAATTTCCAGTGACCATAAATAATCCTTGAGAGACCATTAATAACTTTGGCCCATTCCCACAGAGGCTCAAATTCTTCCTGCCACAGAGTGCAGTCCTCAATGGCACATATGTTCCTCTATAACAAAAGTCTCTGACCTAAATATTTATGAACATAGTTCCAATGCTCAGAAATATGGGCATGAAGATAGATTTTAAAAAAAAAAACTTAAAATTACTTCTGTAATAGAGCACAACAGCGACAGCACACTCAGCAAACTAATTTCTTATAGCTTAAATCGTATACGAACATAAATGGGAAAACACTTATGAGTATGAACCAAACCAACTAGAGAAGAGATGAATCACAACATTACAAACTAATATTAGTGTAAACACTGTGTGAATCAGTCAGTCACAACAGGCTCAACCAATGAAGTGAGCTCGAGGCAGCACATCTGTTTGACTGATTAAATACACATTCTGATATACACATCAAGTAGTTTGAGAGTGTCTGAAAACTCTGCAAGGTGTCACAGGAGTGTGCGGTTGCTACTGACCACTTTAGAATCAATATTCATTTCCATGGCAGCAGCAACTTCTCTGATTGGTGAAGTGATGTTGAGGTTATTCAAAAGGTATTTGGCTATTAATCACAACTTTTAAAAAACTAAGCTGAAATGACACTGATGTTAAGCTTCTACAAAAGCATATATCATCTCTTAACATTGCTTGAAAGGTTTATTTATCATTAAAAATCAATTTATCTATGGAGAAAATGACAGATTTTTGCTTCTGGAACTGTTGCGCACTATATCATCCATATAAAACCACCAATGATTATTTACTCACCAATTTAAAAAAAAGATGAAAACATGATACATCCCTGCAAATGTCATAGAAAAAGTATTTCTGTAGATGATTAGATTTTTTAGAAACTATGTTGTGATTTGCTTTAGTTATTGTTTTGTTATTGCGATCACTAAGCACTGATGTCATTTGTGGTCATCACAAAGTGAAGCTGATAACAGATAACGAAAGAAAATGCATTAGCGTACTTAGTTCTTTGTAACATAACATTAGGCTCATAGTTCCCAACACAAAAACCACACAGATTTTTCTGGAGGTACTGTGCTGATCTGTTTTAAAGCAAACAAACATCATAAGGTTATAATGAAAGGGTTATTTGTTACTTCATTTGATGCATACATTTTCAAATAAGCAGCGTGTAATGTGTTATAAAAGCACTGGTATCTATCTAAAAAGCAGTGCTTGTGAGGGGGTTGCTCTACAGGGAGCATTCTTCAGGGCGGCATGAGCACAGGGACACTGTCCCCTATATGTCCTCTTACCCATGGCCGCCCACATAAGCAGCGTAAGACTGGCGGCTAACAGATGACAGGGAGCTTTGGTGATAGCTGCTCTCATAACGCGTCTCAAGGTCCCGTTGCTCCTGTTCCTTTTGTTGTTTTAAGGATTCTGACATCCTGAGGTGCTTTTTAGATCGTCCCAAGGACACCCTTTTCTCTCTGCTTGCAGTCTTAAGTACAATTCCCAATGAATGTTAATTCAAATGCACAAAAAACAACACCTGACTGCAAACACTTACAATTTTGATAATGAATTTACAGTGTCAGAAAAAAAGTGATGCGTGCAACAGTTTGTCACTGGGGCAGTAGAGTAGTGATACGAAGTACGAACCCTTAAGGTACTACTATGAACCTTTTAGTGGTAAATAAAGGTACAAATATGTCCCTTTAAGGGTACTGCCTCAGTGGCAAGCTGTTGTACCCCTAAAGGTACCATTTTTTCACTTTTTTTTTTAGAGTAAGTTTGACTATTTGGAAATACTGTATGGGCCAACACACATATCCAATACATTTGACTATGTCTCTTTGTTTGCATTTTCAAAATAGTAACAGAAACATTCTTCTTCAAATTATAATTGCATAAATAATTAAAATGACTTAAACCACTAAAATTATTTAACATCATAACAGCATTAATATAAAAATTAAAAATAGGCTACAAGGTGCAACAAAACTCCTAGTATTTAAAGTATAATATCAGACCACAAAAGATTAGCAACTAGTTTTGTCTGTTGTGATGGCAACTAATTCATAAATTCACACTGTCCTATTACACACAATTGGATGAGTTAAACATTACTTCCCTTATTGAGCCAGGGCTAGCCTCTGTGAGAAATATAAAGTCACTTACCAGGTCAAAGTTGCTTTTTCAAAAAGAAGAAGGGGCAAACTCCAAAAAAACGAGAAGCTAGTGAAAATCCAGGCACGGCGGCGGGTATGGGGCAGCCGACAGAACGGGACTCCGCTGAACAAAAATAATGCTGCCACTCTGCAGATTGTAGCGTACAGCCACGACCTTGTATGGCCACTGGGTCTGTTAAATATAGACCCTGACCAGGCGGCAGGCAGTTTTAGCATGAACTCTGAAAACGCGCGTAATTCAATTTCTAGACAGAGCAAAAGCAACGTGATATCATTTAAAGAGCTACACGGGCAAGACTGCTGTAGGCCTCCTCGTGCCGAACGTAATCAGCTGTTCAATACAGAAGCGATTGAGTGTGATGTTGCGTTTTATAAACATTAAACAATAGGGTAATTTGCGCTAAAGTTACCCCTTTTAACACATTTGGTCAGTTGTCGTGTAAATGTTGTCATTTTCCAGGCAAACGAAAAATAGTTCTAAAACAATCCAAGCACGTGGCAAAGCCTTGAACTACTCCCTATCGAAACTGCAGGTATAAGTCTCAGATATAAAGATTATTTTAGATACGTTTATAAGCAATTTAGAATGTTGTCTTCTTCCAGCTAAAGTGATCCTCTGTATGAGATTTTTGTTATTTAACACAAGGATTATATAAAAACTATTTTTGAGGTTTATATTTTTTTATGTTTTTTTTTTATATTTAGCTCTATGTAACATAATGCTTGTGTTTTAAAAAAGCCAGATGTTTTTGACGCATACCATGTTAATGTAGTTGTTGTTGTTGTCTTGTAATTTAATTAAACTAAATCTGACCTATAGCTAATATGTGAAAACCATAATAACCATAAACACACCCGTTACCTTACTGTAACAATTCACCTTTCATTTTATAAGTCATTTTGACATTTTTCCTATTTGATCATTTGAACCCACCCCCTCAGGGTCACTCATGGGCTATTCCAGTCCGTGATGTAATGAAATGTCGACGGGACTTTCCCATGACACTAATCAATTAGAGGGGTGCTGTTGTGGTGTTTCAGCGTTGCAGGCGGTGTTTAGGTGTTCTGCCTTTTTTTTTTTTTTACCTGAATAGGTACGTCTAATTTTCTTAATTTACTGCACGAGTATCTCAATCTCCAATATTTTTATGTGTTGAATGTGACGTTATAGTTTTATAATTTATATTGCACACGACACAGACTCCTAAATACAAAAAAAAGCCAGCTCCGTTGCTAGTTAGCTTATTAGTAAGTAACTTATGTGGTATGCTGCTTCCTGTCAACATTTCAAGCTTTCTTATTGCCCATCAGTGCTCTTACAAAGTCATTAAATGTGGACGAACGAACTGAAGTGATGTATGAAAATAAACATAACGTAAGCTTTAAAGCAGTGGTTCTCAATCCTGGTCCTAGGGAGCCACTGCTCTGCACAGTTTGTATGTCTCCCTCATTTAACACACCTGATTCAGATCATCAGCTCGTTAGGAAAGAGCTTTATTAACTGAAGTGGGTGTGTCAGATAAAGGAGACATATAAAATGTGCAGAGCAGTGGCTCCCTAGGACCAAGATTGAGAACCACTGCTTTAAAGAATTTAAGTGCTAAGTTTTTGACAACTACGTTAACGTTATTTAGCCAGTAGGCTGATCAGCTAATATTAACGTAACTTAGCTAAACAAACTCATAACCAGTCTTGAATAGGCCTACACAATACTCCGTTCGTCTTAAAAGTAAGTTGTTTTAAATAAAGTAAAAGTCATTGCTGGGGTTGGCATCGTTGCTGAATGATTTTTTTAGTAATTCTTCTTTTTGAATAGCTCCTGTACTCTTATAATCTGTGTTAAATGGTTTTGACCATAGACTGTAAAATAAGGTTTTGACTAACAAGCAAAATGTCTTTTTGTAAATTTCAGTTTTAAAAGCACAGAACTGTCAAAATGTCTAGCAAAAGGGCTAAGGGAAAAACCACCAAAAAGCGCCCCCAGCGGGCCACATCAAACGTGTTTGCCATGTTCGACCAATCACAGATCCAGGAATTCAAAGAAGCATTCAACATGATCGATCAGAACCGTGATGGCTTCATTGATAAAGAGGATCTGCATGATATGTTGGCCTCATTAGGTAAGGACAAAGTAGTTTTCTAAAGCAAAAAGGTTGAATCTTCTGCCCTTCACTCTTAATGACACCGTTTCCATTCCAATGGACATCACATTCCCTCACTCTTTTCACTGTAATGCCATTTGGTGCCACCGAAAAATACTATATACTATGGAAGCTTGTTTCCACCACAGAATGAAAAATAAAAAAGGTCATTTTTATCTCACAATTCTGACTTTTTTTCTCACAATTGCGAGTTTACATCTTGCAATTCTGACATTATTTCTCAGAATTGCGAGATATAAAGTCAGAATTGCGTGATATAAAGTCAGAATTGCGTGATATAAAGTCAGAATTGCGTGATATAAAGTCAGAATTGCGTGATATAAAGTCAGAATTGCGTGATATAAAGTCAGAATTGTGAGATATAAAGTCAGAATTGCGTGATATAAAATCGCGATTGCGTGTTACAAAGTCAGAATTGCGAGACATAAAGTCAGAATTACGAGATTATAAAGTCAGAATTGCGAGATATAAAGTCAGAATTGCAAGATATAAAGTCAGAATTACGAGATTATAAAGTCAGAATTGCGAGATATAAAGTCAGAATTGCGAGATATAAAGTCAGAATTGCGTGATATAAAATCGCAGTTGCGTGTTATAAAGTCAGAATTGCGAGATATAAAGTCAGAATTGCGTGATATAAAGTCGAAATTGCGTGTTGTAAAGTCAGAATTGTGAGATATAAACTATTCTGAGGGGAAAAAAGTTAGTCTTTTTCCCCCTTAGAAATGGCCTGATAACTCGCAATTGCGAGTTTATATCTCACAATTCTGAGAAAAGATGTCAGAATTTCGAGATATAAACTCGCAATTATGTGTTATAAAGTCAGAATTGCGAGATGTAAACTTGCAAAAAAAAAGTCAGAATTGTGAGATAAAAATCGCAATTCTGTCTTTTTTCTCGCAATTGCAACTATTTCTCATAATTGCGACTTTATATCTCGCAATTGCGACTTTATTTCTCAGAATTGCGACTTTATATCTCGCAATTGCGACTTTATTTCTCAGAATTGCGACTTTATATCTCGCAATTGCGACTTTATTTCTCACAATTTTGACTTCATATCTCGCAATTGTGAGATAAAAAGTCGCAATTATTTGTATTTATTTTTTTATTCAGTGGCGGAAACAAGCTTCCATAATAGTCAAGTCAAGTCATCTTCATTTATATAGCGCTTTTAACAATGAATTGTTTCAAAGCAGCTTTACAGAGATAAACATATAATTTAAGGTAACAGATTGTTTTGGCGTTATAGCGGTTCTTGAATAATGTTACTTCCAGCTAAAGTTAACTTTGATTGATTCACCTCCGTCGAAATGATCAGACTTTAAACGCGAACCTGTGATTAACGCTGACGGCGTTCACATGCTCATTTAGAATTCTATAGTTATGTGCTTTTTAAAATATGTGCGCAGGTTTGTAATTCATACAACCCAGCCTAAACAAACTACTTTTCTTGCCTATAAATTTTGATACAGAATTTTGTTTTATTTTATCACTTCGGGGTACGCGAGCCGGAATTCACAGCGCTTTATCTGTAGAGTGGGAAAGGGATCCTCCATAGGGAGAGGATAGTGGATACTTCAGCACTGCATTGTCATCGGGTCCAGGCGAATCTCCTTCGTCAGATCTGGACACGGCCTGGATCCGGCAGGCTGCGGGAAAACCTCGGGATAAACAAAGACACTAATATTAGCGTAGATGCCATTCTTCTTATGATGTAGCGAGTACATCAAGATTTAAGGGAAGTGTTCCCAGTTCCGGCTGACCTAATCTATGCAGCCTAACATTGAATTTATAGAAGTCTATAATGTATTATGTGTATGCTAGGTCAAAGAGATGTGTTTTTAGTCTAGCTTTGAACTGACAGAGTGTGTCTGCTTCCCGGACAATGGTAGGAAGACTGTTCCAAAGTTTTGGTGCTAAATAGGAAAAGGATCTACCGCCAGCAGTCGATTTAGATATTCTAGGTATTATCAACTGGCCGGAATTTTGAGATCGCAATAGACGTGAAGGACTATAATGCGTTAAGAGCTCGCTCAAGTACTGCGGAGCTAAACCATTTAGTGCTTTGTAGGTAATCAACAATATTTTAAAATTTATACGATGTTTAATAGGGAGCCAATGCAGTGTTGACAGAACCGGGCTAATATGGTCATATTTCCTGGTTCTGGTAAGAACTCGAGCTGCGGCGTTTTGAACTAGCTGTAGTTTGTTTATTAAGCGTGCAGGGCAACCACCCAGTAGAGCATTACAATAATCTAGCCTTGAGGTCATGAACGCATGGACTAATTGTTCCGCATTTCCCAATGAGAGCATATGGCGTAATTTAGATATATTTTTAAGATGGAAAAATGCAGTTTTACAGATACTAGACACGTGGCTTTCAAAAGAAAGGTTGGTATCAAATAGCACACCCAGGTTCCTAACCGACGACGAAGACTTGACAGAGCAGCCATTAAGTGTTAGACAGTATTCTGGGTTATTACGTGTGGAAGTTTTTTGTCCAATAATTAGAATCTCTGTCTTTTCAGAATTTAGTAGTAGGAAATTACTAGTCATCCAATTTTTTATATCAGCTATGCATTCCGTTAATTTTGTGAATTGGTAAGTTTCGTTGGGTTTTGAAGAAATATACAGCTGAGTATCATCGGCATAACAGTGAAAGCTAACTCCATGTTTCCTAATGATATCTCCTAATGGTAGCATGTACAGAGTGAACAGCAGCGGTCCTAGTACTGAGCCTTGTGGTACGCCATACTGAACTTGTGATCGATAAGACATCTCTTCATTTACTGCTACAAACTGATAACGGTCAGTTAAGTATGATTTAAACCATGCTAATGCAATTCCACTAATGCCAACATAGTTTTCTAGTCTATTTAAAAGAATGTTGTGGTCAATGGTGTCAAATGCAGCACTAAGATCGAGTAACACAAATAGAGAGATACAACCACGATCGGATGATAAGAGCAAATCATTTGTGACTCTAATGAGAGCGGTCTCAGTGCTATGGTACGGTCTAAATCCGGACTGAAAATCCTCGCAGATATCATTTCTTTCTAGAAAGGAACATAGTTGTGAAGATACTGCTTTTTCTAATATCTTTGACAGAAAAGGCAGATTCGAGATCGGCCTGTAATTGACTAATCTAAGATTATAATAATCTAAAAGAACCGCTAACTAAAATTGTTTATCATAGCCAGTTTAAAGGTTTTTGGTACGTATCCTAGAGACAAAGATGAATTAATGATATTAAGAAGAGGATATATGACCTCTGGAAACATCTCTTTCAGTAGCTTAGTCGGTATAGGATCTAACATACAAGTTGTCGATTTAGATGAATTAACGAGTTTGCAGAATTCTTCCTCTCCTATAGCAACAAATAAATCAAATTTTTCCTCAGGGAGACTACAATGCACTTCCTGATGCGATACTGTGGTAGACGGTTGCATAGTTATAATTTTGTCCCTGATATTATCAATCTTATAAGTGAAGAAGTTCATAAAGTCATCACTGCCGTGTTGCTTTGACACTTCTGAGCTTGAAGCTTTCTTTTTCGTTAGTTTAGCCACTGTTTCAAATAAATACCTAGGATTATGTTTATTTTCTTCTAATAGGTTTGAAAAATAAGCAGATCTAGCAGCTTTTAAAGCCTCTCTGTAAGCAATTGAGCTCTCTTTCCACGAAATCCGAAATACCTCTAGTTTAGTTTTCTTCCAGTTGCGCTCCATTTTTCTGGCTGCTCTCTTTAGGGCCTGAGTGTGCTCGCTGTACCACGGCGTTGGACTATTTTCTATTTAATATACTGCTATATGGGATTTCAGTAATAATTATCTGTAATTCTCTGGATGCTACTATCCAGATCAATTATTGTCAAGTGTGGGTATCTGCAGGTTGAACTAGGTGTGGGAAAGGTCTTTATCATTGGTCTTTCTGGGTGTGGGGTAGGGTTAGGGGTTCATTTCTGTTGTAGCAATTCACCTTTCTGCATGCACACTACTCCGCCCTGCAACTATCCCTGGCTCATTACTGTTGCAATGGACACTAAAATATGAGCATTAAATGAGGTTCATATTTTCCTGGTCATATCTACATATGGTCATATTTTTCATGGTGTTCTGAAACGGTTAACACTAAGTCATAATAAAATACGAATATCTCTTTAAAGTCGGCATGAAACGGAAGTTGAGATTGTCATTTTTTCCTTGTTGTGACGTATATCCGAGTGAAACGGCTTCTGAAATTAGAAAAAAATGTAGGGCGGGGCTTGATTTCGTCCTTCGGGAATTGATTGGATCGTTGGAGGTTGGGGTGTTGCAAACAAAATGGAGGCAGATTTGAATGTATCTTCTCTGAGAGGCGGTGCACCGATAGCCGCACCCTCATCGGCTCTGGCCGCACCCTTTCGCCATTGCACGTGACCGAAAGAGAAGAGTGGTCGTTTCGAGGGGGGAGGGAAGGGTAATGTATTTGATTAAAGATTATAAGGGTACATGAATTTAAAAAAAATAATGAAGTGCACAGATAAATCATTTATAATAAACACTACAATATTACATATAAAAAGAAGATTTGTCAAATTTGATTTCATGCCGACTTTAAAGCTGCAGTCCAGAGTTTTTCCTCTTTGTCGCCATCTCTGTTCGAAATCTGCAATTGCAGTCATTCGCGGAATTATCAACTTTACGTGAGTTGTACTTCAACACCCTCGACACGGCACAGCGCGGATGAACACAATGTTTGAGGAGAGTGTGCTGTGCAGCTGTCAGTCACCGCGCCGGTGTGGATACTGGCATTCAGACTTCACAGATTATTCGTTTTGGAAGTATGACCAACATAAGAATTTTCACCGGAAAATGTCATCTGAACAAGTAAAAAACATCCACTTTTGTTCTAGTTCTGACATTGCAGTAAATCGCGCTGATTAAATCTAACAATCGCTTATAAGTTATCATATCACGCAAAACTGTGCAAATTATACTTTGTTCTCAAATTGTTAATGTTAACAACATCAGCATTGCGTGACTACATTTAATGCCCTTCAGATATTATCCTTGTTTTTGCATGGGTCCGGTTGCAGTCTCTTCTTTCTGTAGCCACTCCAAAGTCCGAAAGAAGTCTTTTGCATTTTACAGCGGGTGAATCTGTTGTCACTGGTGATTGTCGTTTAAACCTTTCTGGATCCGCCATCAAATTGATAAGTTTAATTATATCAAGTGCTGTGAGAAAAGGCTATAAATCTCCACCTCCAACATCCTCACACGCAATATAGCTTATTCTAGCCGAGACTCCTTCTTTATGTGTACAGATGTGACGTAATGACGCAAAGACAAGCTCGAATCTCCCGCGGAAATCCACCAGTACCACTGGAATTAAAAACATTATTACAAGCTTACCACTTTGAATCGAACTAAGGCAAGCAGATAGTTTTGAACACTGGCTGGTTATGTATTTTCTCAAATATGTATTTTGGATAATTTTTAACCCCAAAAAATGATCCATTTTTAACCCCAAAAAAAGCTACGGACTGCAGCTTTAAATAAACCAGCATTATCTGTTTAAAACACAAACACATAAAAAATCCAAGCAGCATACATTGAAAGAGAGAACAAAAACTTTTTTTTTTTTTTTATTAAAACAAAATAATGACAAATAATAAATAACAAAATATATTATAACATAAATTAATTTAAACGTAGGGGGTTAATCATTATATTGCAAGTCATTTAAAAAGTTTAAATGCATTCCTTTTTCAGCTGCTTAAAGTTGTCATGTGACGCCAGTGAACACGTCATAAGAGAAGAGCTGTTGTTGCAAAGGGGAGGGGAGTTATTTTGATTAAAGATTATAAGGGTACATTTTTTTTTTTTTATATATAATGATGTCCATGGAAAATAATTTGTCACACTTTATTTTAGGATCCAATTCTCACTATTAACTATGACTTTTGCCTCAATAAACTCCTAATTACTGCTTATTAATAATTTGTAAGATAGTTGAGGAATTGGGTAGGATTAAGGGATCTCGAATATGGTCATGCAGAATAAGGCATTAATATGTGCTTATAAGTACTAATAAACAGCCAATATCCTAGTAATATGCAAGCTAATAAGCAACTAGTCAATAGTGAGAAATCATAATAAACAATGCAATATTCCATAAAAATAATTATTGCCTGTTTTGATTTCATTGTAATTTAAAAGGACTTAAACAAATTCAAATCATTTTTAAATGCCACAAAACTTAAAATCTACATTTAATCCGATACAAACTGGTTTTGACTGACAAGTTATTTTATTGGCAGGTAAGAACCCCACAGATGAATACCTCGAGGCGATGATGAATGAAGCTCCTGGTCCCATTAACTTCACCATGTTTCTCACAATGTTTGGAGAGAAACTTAATGGAACAGACCCTGAGGATGTCATCAAAAACGCCTTTGCTTGTTTTGATGAGGAGGCGACAGGTAAGTAAGGGAAGTAAGTAAGGCATTCACCAAAATAAATAGAATATATTCTGGTTTTTGGTATACATTTATTAAATTATTTTCAGCATTGATAACCAATTTGCCTAATTTGTTCTAGGTTTTATTCAGGAGGACTACCTGAGGGAGCTCTTGACCACAATGGGAGACAGGTTCACAGATGAAGAAGTAGATGAGCTGTTTAGAGAGGCCCCTATTGACAAGAAAGGAAACTTCAACTATGTGGAATTCACACGCATCCTGAAGCACGGCGCTAAAGACAAGGATGATTAGAATGAGGCGATCACTACTGAAACGAATGAAAACTACACCGTGTTTAATTGTCTCCTTTTCCCCACATTCATCCCCACATGGGCTAGTGCAAAGGGATTTATTCATCAGCAAGGTGAGATTATTTGACTGTACTGGACCTTCTCTTAAACAGTCTATGTAGACTTGTACATAACTATGAATTACATAAAGACATGTCATCTGTGGTAAACCTCAAAGTGAATGAATGCTGTTCTGCTATGTAAATGTTGAGAAATAAATTATGGAATTATTCAGTGTAGCTTGGAGTTGCTGGATATTTACACTTTGTAATAAACAATTTAATGTAAGGTAAGTCATCAAGTTTTCTTTACAGAGTTTGGAGTTTATCCCAACATTCTTTTACAATTAAAAAACACAATTTTTGAATTCTGTTAAAAACCAGGTATTGTCATTAATATTATACTCCTGAGACCCAGGGATAGACATTTTTCCTCTGTAGAGGACATTCTATTATAGTTTTTTTTTTTTAGACCACACATGTCAGTTTTAAGTCTAGATGTCCTGTAAAGAGAAATACCAAATGTTTTTCTAGGTTTCACCATGACAACTCCCTCTCCTTGGTCTTTAAAAATAACTGACTGACTGAATTATCAAATTTAGCACTCTTATGGAAATATGATGTATTAATATTCTGCAATTATCATTTAAATCTAATTTTCAAATTGTTTGGCAGAAATAAACCTCTCAGGAAAATGTTATGGAGTTTCAAATCTGAATTTTACTTTCTTTTACAAAACCAATGTCCATTGAGGACAACCGGACTTACAAGTAAGTCTAGGTTGTTTATCAGGCATTTTGGGAGACACAACAAGTTAATAGGGAAATATATTATGTATCAATATTCCTATGACATATGAGGAAATTATGTTGCCTCAAGAACACATTGATATGCAAACTACCTACAATTATAGAGACATTGTATTGATTGGGACTACCAATTAATAGCCATTTTACACACACATTGCATAAAGTACAATGGTATATCAAATCATTGTTATATATTTCATAACAGTCGAGAATCATCTTTATACAAAAAGGTATGTTTGGTTAAAAATAGCCTGAAACCTAAAAATTAATTGGTACTTGAAAAAACATTGGTACTTGCCTATATATGTCATATCATGCCATTTTATTTTCTTAATAATCGAGTCCTGGTGTCCTTTACAGAGGTCATATATTTTTTCAACAACAACAAAAAAATCAATTTGTTTCATTTGCTACAAATAATGTAATGACATTGAAAAAAAAAAAACTAAATTCACAACAAACAAAAAAATGCTGGTTCATTGAAACCTAGATTTGGGATTGTACAGAATAAGATAAACTGCCAATGATGGTTACTAAGACAACACAAAATCGGTTTTCAAATTTTTAATTTCTCTCAATAACTTCACAACAACATCAGAGACAGAAATCGACGGAGACAACAACCAGTGGTTTGGAGCACCCTGAGATTTAATCATGATAAAAAGAAAATGAGGACTATCGAGCTACAATCCTTTGCTTTCAAAAAACAATTTCACATTTTTATATCCAAATGTTTTACTGTACAATGCTGATTTATTTTATTAATTAGATCATTTAATTGGGTCCTTTAAAAAGAAATTTTTCCAGCACCATTCTTTTTTTTTCTCTTTGACCAAAACAAGATTATGAATCCAACAACTGTCAAACTTAGGCTAGGTAACAAAGTTAAACGAGAGAACGTTCTAGATGGTCAAAACTCTTCAGTCCCATCCATAGCCAGAAGTATTTCCAACACTTAGCATGAAAAATATAAACTCATAAGTAATCAAATGCCGCCCGTTCTCTGTATGACAGGTGCATGTGTAGGTCATGGGTTGTAGGAACTGCAGGACCACCTTCAGTGCCAAAGCTCTCAGTGAGGTTCTTCAGTTGCTCATAGAGCAGCACCAGTAACTACTGATGTCAGGAGTCTTCATTCACGATCACTCTGCTAAGGCTAAGTTTTTTGTCTGAATCTTGGCCAAGTGGTCTGATATTCCAGCTTCAATTTTGTCACACTGAGCTAGGAGCCCCTAAGGACAAGGAAAATACATTTATTAAAGATCTGAAATCAAATAATGGTCATGGGTATGTTAAAGTCTTAAGTGTTTAATTAAAACTTAATATCCATAAGGCATAATCCTACCTGAACAGTTTTCACAAGTCCCTTTTTCTTCATCCTGCAGTCATTAAAACTCTCAGGCAAGTTCTGTAAATAATGTTGGAGTTTACCAATACAAAAGTGCACAAATAAAGCGACTTTACTGAAAAACAGTATTTAAATACATGTAATATACTGTAGTTTTATTTTATCTCTAAAATAATCAATTGCAATTAAACTAAAGTAGCAGCAGATTTTTTCTTCCTTATTGTGACATTACATCTGAGTGTAACGGGTTTTTAACTTTCGGGCTTTACTTTGAGCAACTTTAAGAAGCGAAAAAACAATTACCAGTGCATCTATTTCCTCTAGGATCTTCATGAACTGCTCAGAGGCGATTTTCACTCTGTGGTCCAGTTTGTTAAGAGCCTCAGCTTGCAACTCCTTTGCAAGAAAACCCTGAAAATCATTACATTATGAATTCAATTATGAGAATGACCATATTGCCAAGCCTCGTACATCAGGTACAGTGTTCAAGAAGAAAAATAAATGTTGTGTCCTAAATGACATTCTATACACTATGCACTGTGGACTCAACTGTCTAGTGTATGAATTTCATAAGGCTATTTTGTCATCCAACACCAGAATCTGTTAGCCCCTCATCAGTATGTAATTAAAGCTACGTGCGTCCAACATCCCACACTTCGGTTAATTCAGTGCATCATCCAGATATTTGAAGCGCACTTTTTCTGAATTTTCAGTGTGAACGCACTACTCACACTATTTATACTATAAAAAGGCATAGAATAGTGCCATTAATACATGAATCGGGATGCACCTAAAGACTTATCTTTTAAAAACATGTCACACATACGTTCTTCAGTCCTGTGAGTTCACCATCCACCTTCTCAAGCTTCTTGGCGGTTTGTTCCACTGACTTTTCAATGTCTTTGAGCTTTTTAAGGTCAGCTTCCTCCTCAGGACTGTTCTGTAAAAATAAAGCAGCTTGTCAGACTCAGAAATAATTACAGTTATATCTTTATGAATGAATGAACAACACATTACACATCTTACCCTCTTTCCAATCATCATCATTTTACAACCTTGCTTTACTCCAAAGCCGGACAGAGGCTCATCCATCTCCTTCAATGATTTCCCTACAGTCAGAACAACATAAGGTTACAATTCCAGTGATCCAGGTTACTCTTGCAACAGCAATACACCAATACAGTTGAAATGGCAGACTAATGATGCTTTTATTTAAAAAACTGCATTGTTCTGTTGAGCTCACAAACTTCAACTCATGACAATACTGTAGTTAATACGCAAAACACAGACCATTTACAGTTGAGCAAGTATAAACACAGAAAGCCGAGAAACAGATGTGCCTAAAGCATAGCTGTATTACCTTTAAATATGACTTTCTGGGATGGTGCTGGTACTCCTGTGGCTTCTGTCAGCGCCTCACACAAATCCTTCAACAGTGGTTCATGTCCATCTTGTGCTGTTAAAGTGATGCTGTGTTTGGTCGTGCCTGAGACAGAAGATCACAGGTTTAATACTCAAAATGATCGAGAGAGCTAACTGGAAATGTATCTGCAAATCCAGCATTAACGTTCACCACTCATTTAACCTTAATCAGATTACAATAGACTTGAAAACTCAAGATATAAATTCATAGCCTCGATATATCACTAATGGTGAAATAAGCGTCTAGAGTGATGTTCGGATCATTTACAGGTAACGTTAGCTAGCTTTAACAGCTAGTGTAAAGCTAACCTCAATAAAATAGCGACTAGATTTATTTTCGATATATCTTCATGTTTTGAAATATGAAAAGTGGTCAGTTATCTTTACCATAAGCAACTGTCACTGTCAAGGTGTTCTCCGCCATATCGGCACACTGTTTGCTAACGCTTCACAACTTTAGAATGTGTACATTATGCAACCGGAAGTGCGTCACGCCCCTTAGAAAACCGGGGATGCGCTTGATATTTGTTTGTTTTTATTTACAAAAAAAAAATTGGAATGTAGAAAAAAACAATACGATTATGCAATGATTTATTTCATTAGGAAAATACCATATACCCAAGAAGTGAGCTATTTCAGAGAGAGGGACTTTTACATAGCCCCTTTGGAAAAAACACTGAAATTTGTGTAACTGTTTTTTTTTTTTAGACTATGTAATACTTCTATTGTTCTTGTGGCATTTAATAGAAAACAATCTATTGAAGAAAACTCTTCTCAAATGTGTTATTGCCAAATAAATAGCCCAGTGGTTCCAAAACAATTATCCACAATTATTTTTAAATACCACCATTTATTGCAACTCTTACAGACTCCAGTGATGCATTTCACATTTCAGAATATTTCAGATCCTGATGTATTATCATTAATGAACTTTATTATCAAGAAAAAGAGGTAATTTTAATAATTCAAAGAATATTCAGACCTGATTATGCCTTGCTTTACATTGCTGCTCCAGGCAGATTCTTCATTCATGCTACACAGAACTATAGTACTTATACTATAGTTATACTATAGTATACTGATCAAATACTTGATCAGTTTCAACATAATTCTGTCAACATATCAGCAAGCTTCAGAGTGAAGCAAGGGCATAGACATTAATATTAACTGTAAAAATGTTAAAATTAGAAACTGCTATATTATGAAATAATATGGGTTTACATGTTTAAATGTCTGTATTTTTTGCTTGACTTTTGTAACTGTTTGGATCTCATTTCATCCAGAATTACTTTTGTTAGGACATGCGTTGATGTAAGCTCAGGAAACAATGGAAATTCTTAGTAGGTGACCCAAAATTCAGATTTAAGGTATATACCAGATTTCTTTAAATTTCTAAAAACTGGAATCTTATTGTCAATCAGGCTAACATGTTAACATGACCAAATTCTAATTAAAATTGTGCTTCATGTGAACAAGATCAACATGTAACAAAAACAGTTAGTTACAATACCAAGTGCTAGACTGGCAATGAATACTACAAAACATGTTGAATACCATTTACCAGCACTAATAACTTCCTCCAACGCATGTAAATAAAACACTGATCAGAGAACAGATTCTTATGTGGCAGGGATCTGTGGAAGTCCAAACTCATCGACCAGAACGCCATCCTGAGGGATGCAAATACAAAAACAAAAAAAATGTACAGAACAAATCACAAAAATAAATATTCCCAAAAGATAATGAATATGTGTATCTTAATGCAATCTGCACCTTATTGGTTTTTGTGTCACTGGGTATTCCTTCAGGAATGGAGGGTGCAGACGAGGCTTCATCTAAATAAGAGCTGTCATCATCCAGCAGTAACTCATCTCCCAGAGCATCCAGCTCTGCAACAGAGAAAAAAGTGAAGTTCGAAACTCCAAATACACACACACACACACACACGCACACACACACAACCTGCTTCCAGTTCATCCTCATCGATCTCTGGTGTGCCATAGCTGCGACTGAGAGCTTCCTGCACCTCGTTGGCCTCCTCCATCATGTCTTCCAGTTGATCCTGCAGGTCCTATCAGCCACAAACATTGGTAATGAAAAAGTGTATATTACTAACCACTGATCATGAATCAAAAACATTACTAAAAAAACAGTGATATCACAATGATTAGTGTGCATACTTCAATCTGATCCATCTTCACTTGTTTATATGCTTTCTTCATTTCTTTTGCTCCAATCTTCATAGCCTCCACCTAAAAAATAATTTTTTTTTTAAGTATAAAAGGTTTGTAGAATCTTACAGTTAAAAAAATATAAATATGAATGAATAAATTAAACGTAAAATGTATTAGTGCTCGGAAAAATATATACACCAGTAAAAAAGGTTTTTTTTTGTTCTCAGAATGACATTTCAGAAAGTAAAAAAACAATACATTATGAAATTATTTATTTTATTAGGAAAATACAATACACGCAAGGAGAAGTGGGCTCTTTGCAAATCAAATTTCTTGGAATTTATTAATGATTAAATGAAATTATAAATTCAACAGTGCTGGGAATACATGGACAGCAGTAAATAAGTTAATAACAAGTCTTTACGGTTGTTTTGGTGTCCCTTAATGACTGGATTGTATAGTTGGCTTGTTCCATATTAAATGACTGCTGGGAAAGCTGATCTCTTTGACCCTCATACCTGCATTATACAGTGAAAAAAACATTTAACATTATTACTAAAAACATTTGAGCACATCCTTTATCAATGTGAAATGAAAACAGAATACTAGATATTGAAATAAACATTTCACACATTGTAAATGAATTCATCAGGCTAAAACTCACATTCTCTTTTGTTTCAGCACTCTCATCGCCTTCTGTTTTACTGTATTCTGTAAAGAGATTGTTCATCTCATGCTTACAGAATTCTTTATGATTTACAGTGGGATCCAACAATCTGAGACCACTTTGAAAATCTGGGATTCAAGGTCTAATTTAATTTCAGGATTTTGAAAATATAATGTAAAACATTATATAGCCACGGTCAGTAATCAATTTAAATAAAGTATATTTGTGATCTTGTGAACTCCTAAAGGTGCCATATGACATATGTTTTGAAGCACAAGATGCTCTTTGGATCATTCTCAATGCTGGAAAATATGATCATTAGGTTTGACACAAACTTGTGGAGTTCATGAAGCTTGAGTCAGGGTTATTAAAGTTAACTAAAAACTAAAACCATAAAAAAAAAAATTACTTGAAATAAAATGTACGTAATACAGAAGCCCTGAACCGCAACATAAAAAATCTGTAAAAAAAAAGCATTTCGAGATTAAAGTCGAAAAATTTCGAGATTAAAGTCGAAACATTTCGAGATTAAAGTCGAAACATTTCGAGAGTACGAGAATACAGTCTTCCAGAAGTTGCGTGTGTGCTTCCCATTGTTTCACATTGCAGCACAGGCATTCATAATGGTGCATAGCGAGTGTTTCACAAATTCACACTGTCTGTGTGTATGTGTGTGTGTGGGTGTGTTAGTGTGTGTGTTTCGTTTCAACAAAAGGAAATTCAACAGGAGCCAATCTACCAGCATTAGGCTACCATTATAGGACGTTATAAAATATACTGCGCCGGAATAGACTTTAGCCTATAGGAAAACCAACCAAAACACTTTTCAGACTGGATGGAGATATCCAGCTTTATGAATGAATGAATGAATGAGGCATTTATATAGCACTTTCATATGTCTACTGGGCCTACACTCAAAGCGCTTTACAATCATATCAGAGAATCTGGGAACTGGGGTGGGATTAAATAAATTGTCTTCTTCCCACTCCCTTTCAGGCAGAATTGGATTGTCAGTTAAATACTGTATGTTCTGTTTTTTTTTTTTTTTTTGCACTGTATGACTTAACAGTATTTTGTCTGCCTTGTACTTTCTGTGCCATTGCCTGAAAAAAAAAAATCTCTCCTCAACCACCATTAGTGATTATTAAATCGGAGGAAATCATGGGATCCGGCCAAATGATTGGATACAGAATGATGCACTTAAAATGTATCCAGAACGTATTTACGGTGAAGAGGGAGACAGAACAGTTACTGTTGTGTTCTCGACCCAGATAGTGTTGCCTAGACAAGCACGAAAACACCTCAAAAACACTGCCACATAAAGTTTGGACCAGATTGTGATACCTACTCCGGCGGAGTCTGTGCGCTCGTCTATAACGCCATTCTGTATCCAATCATTTGGCAGGTGTTGTGCCTAATTTCGACCCCTTGCCAAATTATTACCCCCCTCGTTGAATTCAGTACCTGATTGCCTAGTCCCAACCCCGCACCTAATCGTAACCCCTCCCCCACAACGAATCCTAAACCTACCAATGCTAGGGGGGTAATAATTTGGCAGGGGTCGAAATTAGGCACAACACCTGTTCCCGTGATTTCCTCAGATTTAATAACCACTAATGGTGCTTGAGGAGAGATTCTCTGATATGATTGTAAAGCGCTTTGAGTGTAAGTCTAGTAGACATATGAAAGTGCTATATAAATGCCTCATTCATTCATTCATTCATTCATTCATTCATAAAGCTGGATATCTCCATCCAGTCTGAAAAGTGTTTTGGTTGGTTTTCCTATAGGCTAAAGTCTATTCCGGTGCAGTATATTTTATAACGTCCTATAATGGTAGCCTAATGCTGGTAGATTGGCACCTGTTGAATTTCCTTTTGTTGAAACAAAACACACACACAAAACACACACACACACACACACACACACACACACAGTGTGAAACACTCGCTATGCACCATTATGAATGCCTGTGTGTGCGGCAATGTGAAACAATGGCAAGCACACACGCAACTTCTACGGAAGACTGTATTCTCGTACTCTCGAAATGTTTCGACTTTAATCTCGAAATGTTTCGACTTTAATCTCGAAATGTTTCGACTTTAAAGGAGCTGTATGTAAGAAATTTATTTCAATTAATCATAAAATGGCCCTGATATGTCACTAGACATTAAGAAATCATGTACATTTCAAATACTTATATCACTGACAACAGTTGTCCGGCCAGCATATTGTCATTTAAAAAGTGCAGTTGCAGCCCTCAACTGATGTTGATGTTGTCATGTTGTGTTTTGGTCTGATGCTCCACCCTCCACCTATCTACCAATCACGAAGTCAGTAGTGTTGCAGCATCCGGGTTGCCAGCTCTGCTCTAGTTACCACAGCTGCAGCTCGTCACGTTCCTGCGGGATCCTGCAGCCTATCTGGCAACCTTGAGTCAGGGAGGAGGGGGAGGGGATACACCGCTCTACAGTAATTTGAAAGTGATTGCAGTACCAGTTTTGGCCACAATCTTACATACAGCTCCTTTAATATCGAAATGCTAGATTTTTTTTTTTTTTTTTACAGATTTTTTTTTTTTTTTTTTTTTTTTACGTTGCGGTTCAGGGCGTACTTCCGTGTACTGAAACTTCTAAAACTGAAGAAAAAAAAAACCAAATTAAAAATTTGGTGCTGCTGCCAGAAGGAGGACAAAAAATACTAAAGAATGTTAATATTTCAATTTAAAAAATCATTAGTTGTTATGCTAATAATATGCACAAACATGTATTAAAAATGCAAAACAGAGTGTTCTCAGACATGTGGATCACACTGTACAGTAGCCTGAATAGAATGATATGTGACATCAACTCGAGTTTCAATGCTCACTTTTGAGGGTCCATCCCTCATCTTTTTCATCTGGTCCTTATACTTCATTAGCTCTGCATCGATTCTCGCTATTTTCTTATCGATCGACTCGACCCTCGTATCCACCTATAACGGGAACACCACACAGACAGCATCCACTGTACATCCATGTCTGACATGCAAACACCAATCAGGCTGCTTCACTGATGTCCTGAGACTGCGAGACATTTACACAACCATACAGTAGCCTACTTACATTGCCTATGCAGTCAGAAAGGTTGGGTGGAGGCGTCTGTTTGCTCCGACCGAAAATTCGGTTCATTATTTATACTTATTTGCTTTGTAGAGGTATTTAAATGCTGACCATCCCAAAGGGCTTGTTCCGGTTGGTGGTAGAATTCACACACCATAATAAAAGTCACGGTTGAGGATAGTAGCATAGCTTTAGTATTTCCGATACTTCCGATGTAATCGATGCTTCTTATGTATTGCGGTGTGTTTTTTCTACTCCTCATTTTCCCCTTGAAATTGTTTTGTCCCATATCTTTTTAACCATAGGAAATTTAGGCATACCAACAATAGCTATTTAAATAAATGGATTTTCTACAATAATTGCCGACACTATGTTGCTGTCTGGGCAGATTTTCTTGCTTTTTGATAGTTTTTCTGATGACAACCCAGACAGCAACATATGTGTCATATTATAAAGTATAGCCTTAATGTTTTAATTATTGCTACCATTGTCTTACCAGTATGATTGATATAATTATTTAGTGATTCTCTTTTAAATTATGTTTATAGGCCTATATGACAGTTAACTTTTGAAAATAAAAATATGAAAGTGCTTTTAATTTCAGTTAGACCTATCTACTATGCACGGGGGTATTTCCGGTGAAGGTCTAAGGATGCTGGATTACTTCCGCCGATCGTAGAGTCCAATCAGAGAATGTCGAAAATGTTAGGGGTATTGCTCCAGAGACCTCCATTCATTCTGCACTCCGCCTGTGAGCGCCCTCATATGGACCTAGAGTGGAACTGCAACCAGTTCAGACCCCAGAAGTTTAATGTGAGTGGGAGTTCTCCCCATATTAGGCCCTGTCCCAAATGGAACCCTAAGCACTCGCGGTCTTCCTCTGAGTCCGCACTTTCGCGACGTAACGCCGCTTTGAATGTCGGGAAGAAGTCTGCTGTGGAGTCCTCATCAGCGTGGGCTCGGCAAAAGTGCGCATCAAGGGCGCAAATCGACCGCAGAGGGGGCGCTCGCGAGCACCCTTCTGAGATCTAAAAATGACAAATGGGACACACTGCGGTCTCACGGACTTAACGGACACGCGCACGCGGCAGCCATTGTAAGTCCACAAGACCGAAAGTGCACATGAAGTGTGCCATTTGGGACAGGGCCTAATATGGGGAGAACTCCCACTCACATTAAACTTCTGGGGTCTGAACTGGTTGCAGTTCCACTCTAGGTCCATATGAGGGCGCTCACAGGCGGAGTGCAGAATGAATGGAGGTCTCTGGAGCAATACCCCTAAAAATCCACTTTTCTCAGGATATATTTTTTTGTCTAGTAATTTGAATATTGTATTCGAAAGAAGATGCAAAAAAATTACACATTACTTGGTGTTAGATTTTTTAGAGTCACTTATTTGCTTTAAAAAGTCTTTTAAAATGTCAATGACGTCATACACATCGTACGACCAGAAACCTGCTTTACGGCAATCCTTCATTCACTGGTGCTTTCGCGCATAGACAGACGAGAGAAGCCGCGAAATTTAAAAATACTACTGTTATTGTGTCACGAAATGTAGTTTTAATAGTTTTTCAGTCGACAATGTAGTTGTTTAAAGCTCAAATCTGTGGTTTATTTATAAAGATAGCGCCTATTTAAAAGTTTGATCTGACGTTTTCGGAGTTGTGAGGACCAGTCTTTCACCGGGTCTCAGCGCTCTGCACCCCGCCTGGAACAGCCTTTCCTCGGCTAGTTTGCCGCTGGCTCTGATGTCTCTAGTAGTGGTTAAACGAGGTATAATTCGTCTTGTGTATTTCTAACGGGCGATCTTTGGTATCATTAATCGTGTCATTTGTTCCCTGGCAAATCGTTTTGGCTGAGGGCAAAGTGAAGTTTCATAACTTTATATTTTGGCTATTTTAACGTTGTATCCTGCTGTGTCTTGAACGGTTTACTTTATTTCTTGTCTTGTATAACTTATTATACCTTTTAGGCTACTTATACTGTTATAATGTCTCTTACTGGTCAATAAAACTGAAATTTAACAAAAATAGACAGGGTTGTGTCATTTTATTTTATATAGCCTATATTGTATATAGCCTTTTCATTACTATTTTATTTGCTGTATACTGTTTGTTTATTTTATTGACTAAACTATTTACTATTACTCACTGTATCTTTACACTGCATTGTAGTTGTACCATATCGTATTACCATAGATAAAGGATCCATCAGTTATCTTTGTTATTGCTAAAGTCTATGTATTTATTATGTTTATGCTTTTGCGCTTTGCACTTTCTTTTCTCTCGAGGCATCAACTAAGTTACACATCTGACACGGGTAAATATCTTTTTTTACAGTCTATCTATGGTATAAACATTTGAGAGAGTTCAGTCCGCCTATGGCCTTAACATTGGTCCCGCTTCGGATGCAACGATGCCATCAAGCGGTGTCTCTGGTCGTAATCAGTCCTTCACTGACCAATCAGCGTCCATTAGCAAAATGCTAGCGTGTTGTGGGCAACAACAACTCACCCTGTAAGAAATCGAAAGGACATAAGCACTCGTTCATTCAACTTTCGAACTATAACCCATGTTGAACTTGCAGAACCTACATTCAAATCTGAGATTTCTCAATGACAATCGGGTAAAAGGGACAAATTTAGCCGTCTAGCCCCATTGACTCCCATTCATTTTGCACTCGGACGATCGCCCCCAGTGGAACTCTGGTGGAACTACAACCAAAGAGGGTATGCGCATGACGTCACCGTCGGCCGGAGTGAATGCGGTCACGCCCACAAGTGGCAAAAAGACTGAGCGGCAGCATTTGTTTTCAGCGTGAATGCCGTGAAAATCACACAAAACACATCTAAAACGGGAAAGAGCTTTGCGATTGACTGTACAACTAGATTTGACCAGAAATCTGAGGTAGGCCTACTGTATATTTTTACAGACTGCAAAAAGCTACAGAACAGACTATATTCTGCATAATTGGATGGTTTTTAAATAAACACTGACAAAAAACTATACAGGTTTTAGGGCTGGACGATATGATGATATACAGTATAACATTAATGTAAGTGATCACTCGGATTTAGACCTATCTATATTGTATTTATATAAAACGTTTACAGGCAAATTGTCTTCATTTATTTCCCCGGCGTCGAAATCAGGCACATAAATGTCAGGAAACACGATTCCTGGCTGCATGTCAATATCCATGGATCACTGGATCTTTGATAAGTTGTAAGGAACACTATATCGAGTCCAACTTTTAGTTTAAACTGATAATAGTTTGTTTTACTCGCGTTTTCGCAGTTTCCCCTATTAACTCCAGTCACACAGCAGCTCTTCTGCCACTCAGTCCGGCTAAGGGGGGGCGTGTTCCGGCGGGGAAGTGACGTTAATGCATTCCCTCTATACTAAATAACGTTAGTCTCAAAAACAGACAAAACAGACACCCCTCATTTTGTTTATGCTTCTTTGTTTATTATATTAAATAAACATAACTGTATATAAAATCTAAACGTATTAAAGTTTCGTTTCAAAGACGAGAGGACAGTAAATTTGGAAGACTCTGCCATAATCCCGTTTTCATCGGTTTTCCTCCGCTTTAAATCTCCCCAACCGGAAACTGAAGAGCAGCCTTGCGTCAAATGCGGAACTTATGCGTGCATATAGCCTATTGATTAATTCTTTCATTCCTTTAGAATCATCAGAATCATCATCTTGCATGGTAATGTGAAGTAATTTTCAGACTGTTTCATTCATAAACCTGATTTTTTTTAGCAACACTGTTAGACTTTTCTGTAATTTCTACAGTTATTTCCTTTAAATCACCCAGTGTTATACTGCTATTTCTCTTTACAGTAAATAACTGTGATTCCCATTGCATCATGGGAATTTTCTGTGACGTCAAACACCACATACAGAGTGTAACCCGTGTCGTGGCAAGTGTGTTACCCCCACTCTCCTCAGTAAAAGACACAGAGGGGAGTGAAAGAAGACACTGCTTCAATCTATGGACCAGCGATCAGAAGACCAGAATTCGCTCAAGAGACTGTGTTAGCAGCAAAGAAGCACAGGGACACACTGTTTGAGTTAGAAAAACAGGTACGATATATTTAAAAGGAATAACAAGCAATTAAGACAAAAAAAGAAAATGTTCAAAAAGACAATAAAATTAAATTATTACCACATCACATAAAAGAAAATAAACCAGAAATAAATAAACTCTTATTTGAATCCTAATTGTAACCTTTTATTCTTTCTTTTTATCTACTATAATTTATACTTTCTATTTAGTTTTAAATCTAATTTCACCTAATTAGCTTTTATTTTGGTATAAGTAAGATATAAGGTTTCTTTAGTTATTTGAATTATTCCTAATTTGACTTATTTATATTAAGAATACTTTTCTCCTCTGGTCTGATTTAAATGTAACTTTTCAATTTCAACCTTTCAAATTACCTTTCAGTTCACTCTTATTACCCAAAAATAGAAATTATGAACACTTAATAGACAAATCAAAAGAAATAAATCACAATAGAATTGAAACAAAATAACAATAAAGAAAATAAATCACCGTCCAATTATCTCAGTGTTCACAGAAATCTCAATGTGATATGAGATTTTATCTCAGTTCTCAGCTCCAGTTCAATGTTCCTTCACGAGATCCTTCTTCCGCAACTCAAGTTAACTCACAGTTCAATAGCAACAGGAAGAGAAAACCTGTACTCAATCCTACCACAATATTCACAGTTCGATTCGCAGTTCGATCCTTATTTGGGCATGGCTCGCCAGTTCCTGCTTGCACCAACTCTCGAACTTTCGCTGTGAAGCAGGGACATCTCACGTGCAGCTTCCTTGATTCTCGTTCAGCATCCAAACTCAGCAAATAGAAAATATCAGACAAAACCAAAAGAAAATCCAGAAAGGATATAAAAAGAAATGGAAAGCCCAAGGGGGGGGGGAAGGAAAAAAACCCAACCAAGAGTACTCTAATATCAATTAGAAAAAGTTCGCGGCAGCTCTCTCAGCTTTAGGCCCGTACTTCAATGCACGTACAAAAGCTAGTTTCACTTTTACTCAAAATCAATCAATCACAGCATCAAGTTCTGTTTCTATTTCTCAAAATCTTTATGTTCTATATCTCTAAATCTCTCTAAACAAA